GTGGTAACTCACTCCTATGTTCCTAGCACTCTGGGAGGCCAAGAAAGGAGGATCAAGTCCAGCCTGAGCAAGAGCAAGACCCCACCTCTATTAAAAATAGAAAATATTAGGCATTGTGGCAGTGCCTATACTCCCAGCTACTCGGGAGATTGAGGTAGGAGGATCACTTGAACTCCAGAGTTTGAGGTTTCTGTGAGGTAGGCTAAGGCCACAGCACTCTAGCCTGAGCAACAGAGTAAGACTCTGTCTCAAAAAAAAAAAAGGAAAGGTAAGGAGAGAAGAAAAGAGAGGAAAGGAGAGGGGAAGGGAGAGGAAGGGAGAAGAGAGGCGAGGTGAGGTGAGGAGAGGAAAAAAATAAGAATGATACATAAAAATTCTGGAATAGCTCTAGTCAATATTTTTGTAAATGACAATAAAAATGTATCCTATACAATAAAAATACATGCTATCTTAAAAAAAAACTCAGTCCAGAAGATAAAGCATAATTTTATTTTTGTTAAAAAGAGGAAGAAATAAGGTTAGGATTAAAGTATCTATATACTTCATAATATAATTTGATAAAATTAATGTGTCAGAAAAGATACGCTAGGTTATGCTGCTAAACTAAACAAGAAATTTGTATAACTTAAAACAACAAAGCGGCATGACTTAAAGCAAACTCATTTCTAACCTAAGCTACATTTCCATTATGGCTGGTAGAACAGATATTCCCCTCAAGATCATTTGGGGGCCCAGGCTGACAGAGAAATAACCCTCCACCTCAGAGGGGAATGAGCACTCTGGAGCTTCCTAAGGATAATTAACTACAATAACCAGGTGACACTTCACTTCTGCTCATAAATCCTTGGCCAGAAAGAGTTACATGGTCTTAACCAGTCCCAAGATTGCCATGAAATCCAATCCAGCCAAAGGGGAGAGAAAATGGAAAATATGAACTATATTTCTGATTTTCACTTTTATTGAACAACACATACCAAATCTAAAATAAAATTATGTATGACTTGTTCCAGGTTATTCCAGTACAACATGAAAAATATAAAGTCCCTAAATATAATCTAGATTATATTTATAACTATCAATGTTGCTGCTTTAGCTATTCAAAGCTACTTTTGCTGAACTAGGCACAATGGCTCAAGCCTATAATCACAGCACTTTGAGACGCCAAGGTGGGAGGAACACTTGAGGCTAGGAGTTTGAGACCAGCCTGAATGGTCTGGTGAGAATTCATCTCTAAGAAAAAAAATTTTTTTAATTAGCCAGGTATGGTAGACCCAGGAGTTGAGATGGCAGTGAACACCACTATACTACAGCCTGGGTGACAAAAGAAGACTCTGTTTTAAAAAATAACTTTTTAAAAAAAATCTCCTTTTCTTTTGAAGTAATGACATATATATATAGATAAGTAAAGACAATAACTGAAGTTGGCCTGGGATAAAACTTTATGAGGAGAACCCCCAGGGCAATTGAAGCAACACCAAAAACACATTACTGGGATCTGATCAAACTAAAAAGCTTCTGCACAGCCAAGAACACAGTAAGTAAAGCAAGTAGACTGCCCTCAGAATGGGAGAGGATATTTACAGGTTATATTTCCAACAAAGGTCTGATAACCAGAATCCACAAAGAATTCAAACTTATTTATAAGAAAAGAACAAGTGATCCTATTTCACTATGGGCAAGAGACCTGAACAGAAGCTTCTTTGAAGAAGACAGGAGCATGGTCTTACAGACACATGAAAAAATGCTTGAGCTCAGGAGTTTGAGACCAGCAGGGGCAAGGGTAAGACCCCCGTCTCTAAAAATAGCCAGGCCTGTAATCCCAGCTACTCAGGAACCTGAGGCAAGAGGATCGCTGGAGCCCAGGAGTTTCAGGTTGCTGTGAGCTATGATGCAGCAGCACTCAAGCCTGGGGAAACAGAGTGAGACTTGTCTCAAAAAAAAAAAGGAGGAAGAGTGTATCTGTAAATTAATTTGCTTAAAGTAATAAGTATCCACCTGCCTTTATACTATGCCACATGATAAGAACTTGAAGTTAATCTGAGCTTTAATTCTTGCTCTGCCTAATTTGCCATAGAGCAGTGGTTCTCAACCTGTGGGTCGCAACCCCTTTGTAACAAGGAAAATACATTGAAGCATTAGGAAGGTTGAGAACCACTGCCACAGACTGTGATGAAAATGAAATCACTTAAAAGTTTTCCATTTTACCACAACCCACAGTAAGTACCAGATATATTTTACATTATGATCCAATACACACCTACCTGTTGTCTTGTGAAGCTATAATTACCTCCTTCTCCATGTGATACATTCTGATTCTAAAGTCTTTTAATGCTGGTCTCAACCAATTAAATTGATTTCACAATAAATGATTCACAGTCCACAATTTGAAAACACTAAACTATAGAAAATATACAATGGATGCCAAAAACTGTATACACATTTTTAAGAAAGGAAACAACTGTATTAAAATTGTAATTCTCAATATATACCAGTAACGTTTGTTATTGTGTATATTGTATCTTGTATCTCTTACGGAAGTCAAATGTGAAACGTGACTTAAGTGTTACAATTTTAATACAGTCCTTTCCTTTCTTAAAATGTGTAGTCATTGTTTGGCACCCCCTATATGCAAGGTAATATCTGATTATAAAATAATCTCTGATTATAAGAAGTGTTCTTAAAACAGGATTACTTTAGAGTTCCAAGTGAATAAGCCAAAGTCTGGTGAAATCAATGTCCATAGGAGGTTATATTTTATTCTATTAATGTAGGTTTTCCACCCCTAAAATTCCAACTCTCCTATTGAGCATTAACAGCCTCTGATTGACCAGTTTCATGGGCTTGCTGCTTCCAACCCTATGGTAAGCTGACAAATATTCCCCAAAGGTATAAGGTCCTAATCCCTGTAATGTATGTAATGTATGTATGTAATGTATGTAATGTATGTAATAATGTTAACATAAATAGGGAAAGGGCTTTGAAGATGTGATCAAATAAAGGATCTTGAAATAAAAGAATTTTGGATTATCCAAGAGGGCCCTTCACACAATTCCATGTATCCTTATTACAGGGGAGCAGTATGAGCTATGATGCACATTGAGGAGAATGCCTTGTGAAGAGAGAATAAATATTTGAAGATGCTGCCTCTGAAGTCTGAAGTGATGTGGCCACAAGCCAATGCATCCCAGCAGCTATGAGAACCTGGAAGAGTCAAAGAATTGATTCTCCACCAGACTCTCTGGAGGAACCAAGTCCCTGTCAACATGTTTACTTTGGCCCAGTGATACTGATTTTGGATTTATGGCCTCCAGAACTGTGAGAGAATAAATTTCTGTCATGTTAAGCCACAAAGTTTGTTACAACAGGCTCAGAAAACTAATATGGACCACATAAACTTGACTTAATGAAGGTAATGGTGCAAAGTACCTTGAGTAAACAGCCACCTATAACTCTTTGTACTTTACTATGTTTCCAGATAGATTTATGGTAGCTTATGGTGATTCACAAAACACAGTAGACATAAAGCTTATGGGCAATTTACTACGTGAAACTATTTTAAATTGCATATGAACTTTATGTCCACCCTGTGGACGCTGATAACACAAAAAAAAATTATTAAATTGGTAAAAAGGGGAAAACCAGGGAAGGATATAAAAAAATGGAGTCAACAAGATTTATGCAAATATACATATAATAGTTCTTGCCATGAGTCAACTACAAATTTGGCTTTAAACTAACAACCAACACGCAAAGGAAGATTTCATGTTTCTATGATTCAACAGCCATTAGATAGAAACAAGCCAACTTCACAGAAACACCAAAAAGGATATGAAATTTCTACCAGGAATTCTCCTACCCAGGAGATTTTTTTGGACTATAGCTATGCATGGGATACTCATTACCCACACCCACCCCCGTGTAAATGTAACGGTAGCCACTAAATCCAAGTTTGTAAGGCTGTTTACTATATCATAAGTTGATGCTATGTCAAAACTTGATAAAAGCAAATTCTATAGCATAGATTGATAAGATATTGAAACCTAACTTTTAAAAAAGCAAATTGTATTGAAGGAAAGGGTAGGTAAGTCCAATAGGTATCAACTCACTGCTAAATTCCAGGGTACATTTTAGAGTATTTATGAAAGGCCTGGAATAATGCCCAGAAAATAAGTACCCTTTTCTCAGCCAGACTATCAAACATCTAATAATTATGTGCTACACACAATGCCTGTGGGATGTGGCTTGCTCGAGGAGCAGATTCAGTACGGAAAGAAATACCTGCAGTGTTTCTCTCTGCCCAGCGAAGTCGAGATGACTACCTACAAGAAGTTTCTGGGCCAACAGAGAAAGGGCCCCTAACCCTGCCCACGCCCGCCGAGCAAGGAAGGCCTGCAGGTGATCCCAATAGACTATTAAAGAAACAGAAGGGAAACAGCAACCGCAGGTGGATCGGAAAAACCACAAGACACACGCATCGCCATTGCTTTATAGCAGTGGTTCTCAACCTTCCTAATACAGTTCCTCATGTTGTGGTGACCCTCAACCATAAAATTATTTTCGTTGCTACTTCATAACTGTAATTTTGCTACTGTTATGAATCGCAATGTAAATATCTGATATGCAGGATGTATTTAGGCGACCCCTGTGAAAGGGTCGTTCGACCCCCAAAGGGGTCGCGACCCACAGTTTGAGAAACGTTGCATTAGAGCCTTTGGAAGCATCTCTGTAGCATTCCCAACAAAACAGAGCTCGCGGACACTGAAGGACCCTCCGGGTAAACCAACCTTCCCACATTTTCCCCAACCCTCTGCCGGCTTAGTCCCCACTGGCAGAGGCGCTAGCCTCAGTACGCAGGCGCCAGGCCTAAGCCCTCCCCGGAGGACTCCACGAGAGTGCGCTAGGAAGTCCGGGCGGGTCACTAGAGCTCCGCTCTAGCCGCCAAGCTTCCGTTTCTCTACTGCTCCCCGCAGCAGTCTCCGGCAGAGCTGGGCGCCGGGTAGGGGGCGGGTCTTCCGGGACCAGGGCGCGTTGGGGAGGAAGGTCAGGTCCAGGTAAGACTGTCCCTGACTTTGGGGGATGTCTGCAGAGAGATGAGGGTTATGGCTGTAGAGATCCTTCTTCGAGGATCTTCAACCTTGGAGTCGCCAAGAATAGGCCGAGTCCGTTTCGTTAATGACAGGTTCAGGAATTTCATGATTCTCGCACACACTTGACCTTTTCCTGCATGAGCTGGGGAGTTTACCAGACGAAGAATGCCAGCGTTTGTGCCCCGTAATTTCCTCTCTGGAGCAGTTACTCTCTTCCACATAAGTTAGCAGTACAGGGCTCAGTTTTCCTGTTCACCAGGCGACATGGCCTTCTGCACCATGTGTGCAGGATGTGAGGGATGAGTGAGCTTTGTGTGAGGGATGCAAATTAATTTTGTTACCACCTTAAGAAAAATGCAGTGATGATATCTAAGAAAAGTGTTCGCATAATGCCCTCCCACTCAAACGTCGTTTGACTTAACAGCCAGGAACGATCGAGTCGGATTCAAGGGGTTGAGAGTTGTTCTTGCTAAACTGAATAAATCTAACACACACTCAGTGCCATTCATGCCTCTGCTACGCAGTGATGTAATTGGTACCAGGCTTTAAAAATAATAAAGCACTCTGTTTAGGTGCTTTTATGTCTAGATTGTCTGTTTGGTAACACCTCCGTGCCCTGTGTGTGAGCTCCTAGGGTCTTGATGATTGTTAGGGCAGGCAATAAGGTTAGCCTCACAACGCAGAGAGTATCACCCTCTTCATGTAATAGGTAAGAGAACTGGGCAAAGAATGAATACTACTACAAACGCCATGTGGCCATTAAAAGGCAGAGGTTCCAACCAGCTTTTCTACCCCCCAGCTAGTGCTCTCTGCTAACTAGTGATTTTGAGACGCTGGAGAAAGCGCTCTCTCCACAGCAAAGTCTATACACACACACACACACACACACACACATTTCAGCACCCAGATTTACAGCTGCACAGGCTTCAAAACGTTGGCGCATATCCGGGTTAAGAATTCCTGCACTTCATCTTCACCCTTCAAAGAGAAAAAGCCAAATCCGAAGCCAGTTGAAATAAACCTGACCTTTTAAATGTATCAGACCTATCAGAAAGATCAAAGAAACTTGCCCTTTGTGTCAAAGTTAAAACAAGGGAATTTTCTTTTTGTGTGGGCTTAATTTGTTTTTGCTTCCCATTTTCAATTCCAGTTAGTTTTTCTTCATGATACTGTAGTTTTCCTTAGTTCACATCTAAAGAAAGGTGACATTTTAAAGTAACTGTTTTGCACTCCTTAGAATGATTTTATGTGAATCAAAATCTAGCCCATAAATTATTTGCCTTTCACTTCATTAACAAGTATCATTTTCTTTCATTTTTGTTATTGAAAGATTCTGTAAAGAAACATACAGGGTCCTGAAAAATTATAAGTAAGTCTTTTGAATTTTTCTCAAATTTAAAGCTAGAAAAAAGTGGCAATTTGTCAGTCTCAGGACCAGTACTCACGGACAGCAAAACCTTCTTGCCTGTGTATAAAAAAGAAAAAGTATACCAAGCTCCTCTGTTGCTGTGTCTGTTGGTAATTGTTATAACCATTTTCAGTTTAATCCTGTTTAGTGAGTGGGTTTGTTTTTAGTAAGAGATTTAGGTTTGAAAAGGCCCTTTCTTTGTCATAAAAATCTTTTAAGACTTGTATTTTGTTGTGTAACTATGTTCCAGTGGATTCTGGTGAACTTTTAGTTATATATCTCAGTAATTTGCTACATTCCAAGGTAGGTATGAAGATGAACTAGCATCACGTAATGACTTTAGTGACTACTGTCCTAGTGAATCTCTTCTTCATTGCTACAAGTTAAAATTACCCAGGTGCTGGTGCCCTCTTCTGTTTTTCCCTGGCTGTCAGTCTTTCTAAGTGAGGAAAATCTGTACAGGAATCCTTCCATACCTATGGAGTTTGGGGTTTTTTGTTTGATTTTTGAGAGTCTCACAATGTTGCCCTCAGTAGAATGCCATGGCATCACAGCTCACAGCAACCTCAAACTCTTGGGCTTAAGCAGTTCTCTTGCCTCAGCCTCCCAAGTGGCTGGGACCACAGGCACCTGCCAGAACGCCCTGCTGTTTTTTTGTTGCAGTTGTCATTGTTGGTTAGCTGGCCCAGGCTGGGTTCGAACTGGCCAACTTTGGTGTATGTGGCTGGCGCCATAACCACTAGGCTACAGGCACCAAGCCTTCCATGGAGTTTGTATCTCTGCTTTTGGACAATTAAATGAGGAGAAGGATTAAACAAATATGTCCGTGTAGGACATATTCATACCAAACTTACAAACAGGTTTAAGTTTTTCTTTTGTTTTTAAGTTACTATTTACTGAGTGATACTGTCTTACTTCTTATGCCAGGTCCTGCAAGCTTCATTTTCAGAAAAAGGAACTCAAATTTAGGGAAGTTAGGTAACTTTTCACAGTAACCCAGGTAATAAGTGATAGAGCCAGTACTCAAACTTAGGCTTCAAGATTCTGTGTTGCCTCTTCATTTTAAAATAAATTGATTTGGGGCAGCACCTGTGGCTCAGTGGGTAGGGCGCCAGCCCCAAATACCAATGGTGGTGGGTTTGAACCTGGCCCCAGCTAAACTGCAAAAAAAAAAAAAAAATTTGCCAGGCATTGTGGCAGGTGCCTGTAGTCCCAGCTACTCGGGAAGCTGAGGCAAGAGAATCACCTAAGCCCAGGAGTTGGAGGTTGTTGTGAGCTGTGATGCCACGGCACTCTTTTGAGGGTAATAAAGTGAGCTCTGTCTCTATAAAAAAAAAGATATGAGTAAAAATAAATTGATTTGGAATAAAAATAAAATGATTTGGAATTCAGAACATATTTTTCTGAAAATACTATATAGAATAATACCTAATGTCCCAAAAGTCACCATACATAGGAAAATGGGAAATTGCAACTAGATGTGCCTTTATTTCCAAAATATTCATTACAAAATTTTACAAAGAGGTAGGCAACACATAAAGACTATTTTGTAAACATTTGGTAAAACTTTTACAGTTACAATTTTTCCATTTTTCTGTGTATGGTGACTTTTGGAATAACTTGTAGTTCCGAGACCAACTCACAAATGAGTAAGTATGGAAATACTGTGTAATTACAGTAGAAATGTGCTGTGATGCCATTATGGTAATGAAGCAAAACAAAACAATTGATAAGGAAATAGTTTATTGTTTTTTAATCTGGCGTTGGGCAAATAACTTTAAAGGTGAAAGGAAGAGGAAAGATAAAGCATGGAGTGAAACTTTTTACAGCTTCTGAAGGCAGCTTCTGGTCCTTGGCGAGGGCTTACGAAGTTTATGGCACCGATTTGTTTACGCATTAAACTGTTAATGACGTTTTCCTCATTGATGAAAATATAACCCCAGTCCTAACAACCCCACCTCCAACCCATCTCTATCCACATAATGGGAGCTGGAGTTGGGAGAAAAATGAACTGAGAACTGAGAGTCCCTAATGGGAAAAAAGCAAAAAGGAAGAGCAAGGCTTCTGGTGATCCCTAGATGGGGGCAGAGAGAGGAATGGACCCTTGGAACTGACGGTTCTCCCATTGCTGGCCTTCAGGTGGCACTGTTGGCCCAAGATTGCTTTGGTGTTTAGCATGGTTAATGGTTTGAGGTTGAAGTTCTGCAGTTGATTTGAAATGAGCCTCTTCTTTTTTAATGGATCTTGAAATGGTTATTAAAAGTTCCTTAATTTAAACTCAGGGTTGGTTTGTTTTCTTGCAAAAGCAATTTTGAAATCCACTTGGCACCATTCCTATTTAGGAGGTTTTGGGGTTTTCAAGATAGGTTTATGCCTTTTTCCTGTTTGGCAATCAGCTGTTTTTCATCACAGCTATAGTGTCCCCGAGGATAGTCTGAGTCAACAGAGTTCTCTTCTCACTTCAAGCTGTCCCCAGGTTATGAACCAGATAGGTTCTGTAGGTTTGTTCTTAAGTTGAATTTATGTGTAAGTTGGAACAGGTACATTTACCTAGTACATGCAATGTCCTCAGTCCACAAGTACGAGTTGTATGTCATTCAGATATACTGAGGCTTACTGTAATAGCCTCTGTTCCTAGGTGCAAGATGCATGTAAGTAAGATGTTTATAACTTGAGGAATGCCTGTACTAAAATTTCACATAAATTTATATATTCTGCCAACAGTAACTCCTACATCTCATCTAGAATGAGAATTACTCTACGGCTCGGCGCCTGTGGCTCAAGTAGCTAAGGCTCCAGCCACATACCAGGCGTTGTGGCGGGCGCCTGTGGTCCCAGCTACTTGGGAGGCTGAGGCAGGAGACGAGTTGGAGGTTGCTGTGAGCTGCGAAGCCACAGCACTCTACCCAGGGGGATAGCTTGAGGCTCTGTCTCAAAAATAAATAAATAAATAAATGAGAATTACTCTACCAGCAGCATTCTTGATTTTTATGAATCAACTTTTATAGTTTTTGATGTCTATTAGCTGTAATTTTTTTTTTTTTTAAGACAGAGCCTTAAGCTATCACCCTGGGTAGAATGCTATGGCATCACAGCTCACAGCAACCTCGAACTCCTGGGCTTAAGCGATTCTCCTGCCTCTGCCTCCCAAGTAGCTGGGACTACAGGCACCTGCTGCAACACCTGGCTATTTTTTGGTTGCAGCTGTCATTATTGTTTGGCAGGTCCAGGCTGGATTGGAACCCACCAGCTCAGTTGTATGTGGCTGGTGCCTTAGCCGCTTGAGCCACAGGTGCCGAGCCTATTAGCTGTAATTTTTATATAGCATAGATATCATTCTTACCTATTTTGAACAGTCAGTACCTCTGAAGAAAAAGTTATGTTTTCAGCTGATAAGAACTTAGCTAGCTTGCATAAAGGCAGAATATATAAGGTATAAAATAAGACAAGTAATCTCACGATTCATACATACCTTCTATTTAATAATAATATGAAAATAATGAAACTCTTTTGAGCTGTTGTGTTTATTTCTATAGGACTGCTGTCTGTTTGTTTTTCCCCAGTGACTCTCAGTCTCTAGGCAAAATCCAGTTCAGTAACCTAGAAGCCAAATGACCTCATAACTCATTAGCAGTTCTCAGAGCCATCTGGAGCCCTTAAGGAGAACAGTGTTCAAAGGAAGGATAATAAAGACAACAGCATAATTATTCTGCCATGATTATACCTTTAGATGGCAAGCAGTCAGCATATTTATTTTGCAAATTGCTTAGGCAGGAGTTTTCTGAAGATACGATGCTAGGGGGTAGGATAACTTACATCCCTGTCTTCTTCACCCAGCCTAGAAATAGGTAAAATATCAATAAATAACCTGGTGAATCACAAGATAGTTCATCATAAAAGGGCAGTGCGGCAAGGAAGTAATAGTATCCAAACACAAAGTCCCAAATTGCAAATGTAAAGCATGCAAAGGAAATAGCCATTTGGACTATGGATACTTCTCAGCTCTGAGGCACATCCTGCCAACTACATATAATGATTCATGCGTGGCTTTTGCTGTGTTTTCATCTTTGTTTATTGTCATTTTCTAAAGCGTTCATTGGATAATCTTGGAATTTCTTACATTAACCTGTTTCTCTTTTCGTTTTCTGTAGGGACTCTTTCTACTTGCTGGTCAAGAAATGTCTTCACTTTCAGAATATGCCTTGCGCATGTCTCGTCTGAGTGCCCGCCTGTTTGGTGAAGTTGTCAGGCCCACTGATTCCAAGTCCATGAAAGTGGTGAAACTGTTCAGTGAGCTGCCTTTGGCCAAGAGGAAGGAGACTTACGACTGGTATCCAAATCACAACACTTACTTTGCACTCATGGGCACACTCCGATTTCTTGGCCTTTATAGGTAATGACAAAAAACACAAAGAGGGACCTGGGAGATTTTTTCAATAAATTAGAAAAGGAGAAAATTAGCCTTCCTATCCTTGCAGTTTTATGGCTCTTATTATAAAGTCCAGGTAATTCAAAGAGTACAGTTTACAGAGGAAAGGATTCTTTCAAAATACCCATAATGGGCTAATCAAAAATGACCAAAAAAACTAAAGCTTAATGAAAGACGGGGGGGGGGGGGGGG